GGGGGGGGTAAGTGTGTGTGTGGGTGGAGGGGGGTAGCAAGATTATAAGACTAATTCCTAGAGTAGTAATTACAAGCAAGGAAGTTCTTGTTGACTAAATTTACAAGCAAGGCAATATGAGATATTATGTTCCTTGATAACTACGTTTATTCTTCCAAGACGTTATGAGACGAAATTCCTAAAACAGTAATAACAAGTAAAGAAGCCCTTTACTCCAAACAATGTTTTCAAGATTGGCCTAACAACGTCATGATAGATGGATCCAAGTTCTAAATAATATATTTCTCTTAGAAAGTTTAGTTTATTTTTGTACATACACTCCAAACAATATCATTCTTTCAGGCAAAGATATTGGAAAATTTTCTCTGTTCTTAAAATGTTTATTTATTTTCATGGCTAATCACTATATGGTTGTATTTGTTGTTTGTATTTTTTTTTCACTCCCTTAAGGATTTTGGATTTCTTGAACATTATTTACTCTTTTTCATCATCAATGAGGAGTTTTTTCTTGTTCCAAAACAACTACATATCTTAAGCAATCCAAATTCTTCCCTTTTTTCTGAGGTAAGTACAGAAGAGAATAGAAAGAACACAAAATGCAACCAATATGATGAGGCACCATCAGACCATCTCACCAATACCATAATTAGATATTGATACAATTCAGAAAAAACAAAATAAAAGGACAATCAATATATTCATGTAACACCTGGAATTTTAAGAAAATAAATAAAAGATTTTTTTCAAGAAAATAAATAAAAGATCTTTTTCAAAAAAAAAAAAAGAAGGAAAGCAGAATGGCACGCACGCAAGTTGGAGAAGATGAACGTACAGTCAACAAGCATATTGAGGAATTTTGGAGAAATTTGGAATATCCTCTTAGATACGAAACAAGCACGGGAAGTCTACAACCAAGTAAGTAACCATATGGAGCAAGTTTCTAAGAAATACTTGTAGGAGTTAATTAGGATCGAGAGCAATGATTGATTATTATGTTTAGGAGCCTAGTTTGACCTAGTCTCATGATAATTGTGCTTAGATAATGTGAACACTTACCACTTAATTCTATTTACCGTTATATAACTTCCACACGCATAATTGTGTAACTTTGATAGATCATTAGGCTTCTATGCTTTCCAGTATGCTGAGGTTGATTTATTATCACTTAAAGAGCAATGACAAGCATGTTGTATGTCTTTATACGTTTATATGAATGGTTTAGGGTTTGGATAGCCCGTTATTACCCAGTTATGAGTTGGACTATCGTCATATGTCATAGAGTGCTAGTTGTGGTATCCATAGACTATGAGTTCCAATTTCACGTATTTTGGTTCTAGTAGCTAGTCATGAGTTCCATAGTTTCCTTGGGTTAACCAGGTACCTTGTAGGGACGGATAGAGTGCAATCCCTATTCATATTTTGGTCCTAGTACCTAGTCATGAGTTCCATAGTTTCCTTGGGTTAACCAGGTACCTTGTAGGGACGAATAGGGCGCAACCCCTATTCGTGAACTAACCAACAGGGGTTAGGGTCTACTTGTTACACATGACTTAATTGTCATCCATAAATGCTTTCGGGACTCATAGAGGGAATACTTCTGAAGTGCTATCAATGGTGCCTAGTGGAGAGAGTCATGGCCTTTTTACTATTCCAACCTCTGAGTGGCATAGTGACATATAATTTTACTGTACTAACCTGAAAAGGCAACATAATATGTAGTTACTATTCCTAAGATGAGTAGTTTAATTGTTCTAACCTAATGAGGGTGAGCAAGTAATTTATTGTTCTAGCCTGGAAATGCAAAGTGACAGGTAGTTTACTGATCTTAGGAACAAGTAGATGTTGCCCGACACCACTAGGGAGAATCCACTAATTAGAGATCAATAGGTAGATATGTATGGAGTACAGTCACCAATTAGAGCAAAAAGGGCTCCTCCAGACTTGCGAACATTACCCTAGGGCCTTTCCATGGGCCCAACGACTTGAAGCGCACTTTGTGCAAGATTGACTAAGGACCTAGACATACGTGAAACCTAGAGACGAGAAAACAGAAAACTCCAAGGTTGTGAACCTGAGAGGGATTGAATACTCCTTAAAAGAGGTATGCTAAAGTTTGGTATGGACGTTTAAGCCACAGTTTGGCTATCGCAAGGGACAATTATGAGCACATAGCCTAAGTTTCCATGTATAGGATGAAGTTCGACAAGAGCCTACAAGTAGGTTGCTTACTGGGTATTTTTATACCCATCCCATGTTATTCTATTTTTTTTTTTTAGGGGGAATGTAGATCATTGTTGATGGCAGGAGCGTGCAGAGCCGTGCAACTACAGGGGGTGCTCTATAGATCGAGTCATCTTCCTTCTTGTCATATTATTATTATTTTAATGCTACTTCCCAAAACTTATGCATTTTTTGTAAGTCGTTTTGATTTAACTCCGCAAATATTACCTTTACACTACTTTTACGTTGGTTTTGAATGCATATTTAAATTTTAAATTCCTTGTGTCTCCCGTTTTACAAAAAAAAAAAAAAAAAAAAAANTGGGTATTTTTATACCCATCCCATGTTATTCTATTTTTTTTTTTTTAGGGGGAATGTAGATCATTGTTGATGGCAGGAGCGTGCAGAGCCGTGCAACTACAGGGGGTGCTCTATAGATCGAGTCATCTTCCTTCTTGTCATATTATTATTATTTTAATGCTACTTCCCAAAACTTATGCATTTTTTGTAAGTCGTTTTGATTTAACTCCGCAAATATTACCTTTACACTACTTTTACGTTGGTTTTGAATGCATATTTAAATTTTAAATTCCTTGTGTCTCCCGTTTTACAAAAAAAAAANACCTGTGATTCGAGGTATCGAAAATCGGGTTGTTACAATTCACTTCCTAATACTTAACCATACATGATCCTTAATTGAGAAAGAAAATATATATGAGACAATCATGTTTGCAATAGGTCATTAGAATTCTAAAACATATCTTTGAATCTAACACGAACAAAGAGGGACATCTCATTCAATATAAAAAGGTGAGAAATAAAAGCAGTTCTCCTTGGTATACTTAACAAGATATAGCCATTGACTATCGATGAGTTAACAAAGTAGAATACATACCAGTTGCTTCCTTGACTGCTGAATATGCAAGCTGCTGAGTCTTAGTTTCAACAACAACTAGCCCCTCTTTTGAAGGTTTCTTAATCACTCTTTTCTTTTTGTTTACATGTTTTTCCTCTTCCACGCTTTTTGGTTGGCATTCATAGGTATCTAAATTTTGTTCAATGACAGACCAAACTCCTTGAGTGATGGAACTAAACAGCAAATGGCAATGCTCCTTCTTGGAGTCGATCAAAAAAACGGCAACCTTGGAAAGGGGCCAGCCCTCTATATTTTCATCTTTTGATGTATATAGACAAGTGGCTAAATCACATGCATCCATAATTGCTTTTTCGGATGGAGAAAGCTGCTTCTCGGGATTTTCCAATTCAATATCATCAGAGCTTTGCATGAGTTTCATGTGAGACAACAAAGCTGGTTTAACGACCACAGCTAATTTGCAAAATGCCTCAAAACTCAAAAATTCAAGATGTGGGTGTTGTTTCCTGTGGTAGTAGTTGTATAACAAAACAACGGCATGCATCTAATAGTAGATTCAAAGGAAAAACACTAAGTTAGATAACATTATTTTTTAACAATAACGATTTTAAATATAGATGACACTTTTATTCTCTCTTAACAATTTTTTTCTTATGGGAAGGAGTAGTGAGAAATAAGCTGCCACATATAGTTAAAACTAACCTACTTTAAACCTATTCCGTGTTAATCATAAGAACAGTACTAGTCAATTTCGGCTGCTATTAAATATAGGAAAATCCAAAGTTTATCAGCAACAAGAATGGTGGTAAACTAAAACGTGTAAACGTGTAAATGAGAAAAATCAAATAAATCATAGACTAGCAAAAGCAGCAGAAGTGCCGTGAATTACTTTTTATTTGCAGTTGTTTCAAATATTGGAAAATATGTTAATCAATTTGCTCAAATAAATTTAATGAATGAACATTCCTTGTAATTTCTATTGTTATGGAGTATAGCTGAATCCTGGATACATAGCCCCCAATATCCCTCCTCTCACTATGTGCCTTCTTTCAGTTATCATGTCTGTGTGAATGTGCGTGTGCATTTGTGTGTGTGTAAGATAGTGAGAGAGTTTTTTGGACAAGTATATATTTATTTACATAGGTAGTTTTATGCTTGACGCTGGTACATTCAAAAGACTAGAAAAAATTAAAGCATTCGGTTAGTCAATGAAGAGAGCACTGTAGAAATTAAATTTTTTTAAGCACAAGTAATAGTATTATCATAATCTTTTGGTACTTTCAAAAGATGATGGATATTAAAGCACAGACGGCTGCTTGTACAACTTTTATGTTTCCAGTAAATCAACTCCAATCACCCAGTCCTAAACCAAAATTATTAACCTAATTATAATTGTTCGAATATTTCAAGAATGAAAGTGAATTAAAATATTAAACACACGAAAGTCAATTTCAGAAGTACCTGTTTTGCAACTGATTGCAGTAGAGCTAGTGGTGGATTTTCTATTGAAGATGACTTTGAAGGAAGCATAGGTTCAACTAAGTAATCCAATAATGCAAGTATGGCATCCTCGGTTGGGCATACACCTGTTGCACTCATGGTAAGGGTGTTTTTTTTACCACTACTGCTTTTTCAGTTTCTTATATATGATATCCTCTTCCCAAAATCAGGAGCAAGACCTTTCCATCAATGGAGGAAAATAACAAAGGATTCAAACTTCCTTCTTGGAATGACAATTGGGGAGCCCACGAAAAGAACTGCCAGATGAACAGCTGAATTAACACAACGTCAGAAACTCTTTTCCATCCAATAAACAATAATTGTCCATTTTCATAGCCACAAGACAAAGAAAAATTAAGATTTGCCAACAAGAAAATAACAATCAATTTTTCAGTTCTTTATGTTCCTTGTCAGAATAGACAGACTGCTGGCACAGAGTAATAAAAACCAATTCATGTGTATACTTTAGCAGCTTGATTACCAGTAAACATGCAGTATAACTAACTCTTCGTGAAGAAATTACTCAAATCAGGTTCACGTTGATGTTGTACCGAGTGTGTGGAAGTGAAAGTGAAGAAACCCTCTAGTTGTTCCATTTTGACTACTGTTGCTTCAAATGGTTGACAACATATCGTAGTTTTTCCTTTTTTTTCTTTGAGAATATGTCATGGTAAAGTAACGTGTTCAAATCTTCATCAGCCATATATTTCTTACTTTTAGTTTCTTGTGTTTAATTTTCTTTATTTCTTTTCATTTTTTACTCATATATGTACTTTTTTGTTCGATAACTATAAGTTGTTTCTTTACTTTGTAATCTTTAAATCAAAAAATAAAAATAAAAATAAAACACTCGCTGATTCAATTTCAACAACAAAACAAGAAAAATATTCCTATTCTTATATATGTAGGAAACATGTGGGTATCAATCAAAAGAGGATGTACAAAACGAGGAGATAAAAAATTCCTGAAAAACCAAGGGGATTACAGAAAAGACTCGTAAATCTACAAAAAGAAAAACACAACAGGACAACTCATTGTAGAGGGAGCACCGAGTAGAGGAACAAAATTTAACCAAATTCCCTTAAACATGGCTAGGAATAATACATGCTTGATAGAAAAAAGAGAATTATCCTTTTATTTTTGTAGCATTAAAATGTGACTAACCGAAAAACAAAAAAAAAAATATATAAACAAGAATAAGATAAAAGACAAATTCATAAACAAAAAGGCACAACTTTTCATTAATGCTTGAAAAATGCTAAGGGAGTAGAGCAAGTCAAAGTCTACCGAGTTTAGACTGAGAAAAAGAAGCAACGCATAAATGAAAATCTAGAAAAGAAATACAAGGAAAAACACAGCTGAAAGTTTTTAAAAATCATTGCCGGAAAGCCCTCCAGTTGAATTTAGGCAAAGAACAGCATCTGGAAGCTTCAATTAGCTGAAGATTTGTCTTTAACAATATAGAAAACAAGAGACTTACAATTTCTACTTCTTTTATGCACAATTGTGGAGACATTGTTAAGACTAAGGAATAGAGAATATGAAGTTCCGGGTCTCCTCAAAGTCATCCAACAAAAGATACGAAAGTATTAAAGAGCACCAATGTTTCAAAAACAGAAGCCAGAAAATATTAACATTGTCAAAGAGACCCAAAACATTCTAAGAGATTTCCAATACTGTGTGTTTTAAAACTCACAAAGTTGTCCATCAGATTAGTAGAATGACCTGTGCCTCAATCACACCTTAAAAAAAAGTCACAAAACTGCTTACCTCTATAAAGTTCCAATTCCATGACTACCTTCAATAAACTAACGTTCACATAATCTATTCACTTCCCCCAACAAACTAATTACACGTTGAACGGAAAATCATACCTGATCCTAATGCATGTTACACAGAAGAAACAGAAGAAAAAATTTCGATGTCCAAACGCAAAAAATGCCTCAAAATAGGGTGAGTTCAGGAAGAAAAACCATCGCCGTATCCTACTTCCTCATAAATTCAAATAAACACAAGGCCGAATGAACCATGACTCAACCACACTCGGAGAAACTCCAATTCGAGAAAGACCTTAACCACAAATTAACTACACATTGAACGACAAACTTTTATCTGATCCTCGTGCATGTTATACCGAAACAAAGAGAAGAAACAGCCCAAAAGGGCCGAGTTCCAGTAGACGAACCTTCACCACATCCAACCTCATGAAAAGTTCAAGTAAAAAGGCGGAAGAAGTTCGCATTACCTCGAATGGAAGCTAAATCGCGAAGATTAGGGTTCGGAGAGGAGGGGAAGTAGTTGAGAGGATGAGCGATCAGCCATGAAAGTTTTAATGCGAAGTTCGAGAGTACAGGAATCAGTCTGCAAGTGTCCGGAAGGCGGAGGAGGTGTGAGTGGACTGAACACTGCATGTCAACTGCTTATGATTCCGTCAATAAATCACGTCGTCTGATACACGAGTTTAAAAAATGTGCTTGTGATGGATAAATTTTACCGTAGTTAGTTTATGTGTGTAAATTTTACCGTGCTTGGCGACTTGCTGCACTAGAAAATTTTGTTATTTTATTATATTGTATTATGTACATTATTCTTCCATTTTCTTGTGTTCTCGTAACATAATTGAAAAATACTCAAAATCTCGCATACATGTTCAACAATTTATAGTAACGCTCAAGTATACTAAGTTATTCTAAAGTATATGTATATGTTCGTTAATGTTGGTAGGCTATGAAGCAAAGAGATGACGTTATATCTGGACCGACTAATATTTTCTATTTAGTCAAAATTATTTGGAAAACTATAACAAAATATAGTTAGGATTCAAACAAAAAGGGATTAGAAGGACTTACGGTCATATTAAAATATCATTATTAGTCCAATAGGTCAAACCCAACAATTTAGAAATAGATGGTTTAGTCTCTACTATAAATACCTCTCCACCTTATCTGATCTCTCCGAATTCTTAATATACTATGTGGTTGCAGTTTTGTCTAATCTTCCACATTAAAAACAATTTCTTGAGATTATTAGCGAGTGAGTTTCTTTGTGTTATGAGTAGTACGTGACTCTGCAAGCTGTGTTGAAAAGAGTTTGTTAGGTATTACTAAGGTATAAACAACCCAATGGGTGATTTCCTAATCGTTGGAAGAATCAAGAAATTCAACAACTACTACAACACGTGGGCAACATGCATGATGTCCGAATTACAAGGGCATGACCTTTGGGAGGTTGTTGGGGGAGTGAAACTACACCGCTTGAGGAAGATTCTAACGACGTATTGCACAAATAGAGAATCAAAGTAGGCAAAGCAATGTTTGCCTTGAAAACCATAATTGAATAAAATATGTTAGAGCACATTTGAGATAACAAGACACCAAAAGAAGCAGGAGAAACATCCATGATGTTCTCAGAGAAGAACGATACGAGACTACAACTTCTAGAGAATGAGTTGTTATTAATTTCATGAGACATGACAATTGCTCAGTACTTTCACAAGGTCAAGTCGATCTGCCGAAAGATTACTAAACTAGACTCAAAATCCGTCATTGGAGAAGCTCGAATGAAGAGGATCATTATCCATAGATTGCAACCAGAATATAGAAGCTTCTTTATTGTTGTACAAGGATGACCTACTCAACCATCATTGGTTAAGTTTGAAAATTTGTTAGCTAGTCAAAAAGCCATGGCAAAACAAATGGGAGGAATCACATTACCCAATGAAGAAGAAGCACTCTACACAAGTGAAAGTCAGAGTAACAATAAGTCGTCTACCAAACATGGATACAAAAAGGGGTGACAGAAGAAGAAGCTACCAAGGAACTAGATAACTAGGAGAGCTCAGAAGAACGACAACAAAAGCTCTCAAGGGAAGAGATTTGAAGGTATTTGCTACAATTGCGGGAAGAATGGTCACAAATCCAAAAATTGTTGGTCTAAAAAAGAATTTGTTGAAAGCAATGTGGCATCCTCCAACATGAATATGGATCAAGAATGGGATACAAAGACAATATGTGTCATAGAAGAAGACGAGCTAGCATTCATGGTGATGATGGGAGAGCATATTGACTGTAAGGATGACTGGATCATTGATTAAGGATGCTCAAACCACATGACTAACAATCAGATTGGCGCAATAGAAGTAGGGTGGCCACCAAAGAAGGAAGTATTATCAAACTTGAACAACATTGAAGAAATTTTACCACAAAAAACGGGGTAGCAAACTATACACATTTGTTTAAATGTTGATGTGCCTGAAGATCCAAATGACAATTGTGTTGGTGAGCAAGAAGTGACTCAACCAAGCGATAGTGAAAAAAAAAATGACACCTCAACAACTTAGACGGTCAGAAAGAATCCAAAAGCTAAATCCAAAGTATGTCAATACAGCTATTATAGAAGACGAAATTAAAGAGTTAGAGACATATGAAGAAGCATCACAAAACTCGACTTGGCAGTAAGCAATGAGGAAGAAATTATAACCTTGGAGAAAAATCAAACTTCAGAACTAGTGTCAATACCAATAGATATCAAACTCATCTATTGTAAGTGGGCTTACAAAATAATGTCTCTCGAATGAATCAATCGAAAAATACAAGACTCAACCTATAGCTTGAGGGTTTCCTCAACAATGTGAACTAATCTATGATGAAACATTTAGTCCAGAAACGAGATTATTATCTTAAATGTTCCTCCAGCACTTGTGGTAAATAAAGATTGAAAATTATGCCACATGGATATGAAGAATGTTTTATTGCATGAAGGGTTCGACCGGGAGATCTATTAAAATATCATCACTAGCTCAATAGGGTCAAGCCCAGTATTTGTATGAGGCTTGTGTATTTTTAGAAAATGATTAAGGTATTTTAAGAATAAATGGTGAGCTAGGTTATTAATAAATTGTTCAGCCTCTACTATAAATACCTCTTCAACCTATCAAAGTTTTCATCCCAAGAAATCCAAAGCACAGAGTGTAGTTTCTGCAAGGTGTCTTGCAATCTCTTGTTGATTGATGTTAATAAAGAGTGCGAGCATTTCCCACAAAGATTTGTGTTCAAGAATCTGGTATCAGAGCGAGGCTAGTGTAGGTTGTATGTTCTCTTGAAATTATTAGTATGTTATGTGGTTGCAGCTTTGTCTGATTTTCCACATCAGAAATGATTTCTTGAGATTATTAGTAGGTGAGTTTCTTTGTGTCGTGAATAGTCTATGATTATGCAAGTTTTGTGTCGAAAGAGTTTGTTGGTATTATTGAGGTATAGCCAACACGATGAGTGATTTCCAAATCATTGAAGGAATCAAGAAACTCAATAACAACAATTATAACACATTGACAACATGCATGATGTCCTCATTACAAGGACATGACCTTTAGAACATCGTTTGCGGGAGTGAAACTACGTCGCCAGGGGAGGATTCTAACAACGCCTTGTGCAAATGGAGAGTCAAAATAGACAAAGCAATGTTTGCCTTGAAAACCACAATCAAAGAAGAGATGTTATAGCACATTTGGTATGACAAGAAACCAAAAGAAGCATGTGATACGTTCATGATGATGTTCTCAAAGAAGAACGATACGAGGCTACAACTTTTGGAGAACGAGCTGTTATCAATTTTACAATCTGACATGACGATTTCTCAATCTTTCCACAAAGTCATGTCGATCTGACGGGAGATTACTGAACTAAACTTGAAGTCCGCTATTAGAGAATCTCAAATGAAGAAGATCGTTAACCATGGTTTGCGACCAGGATATAGAAGCTTAGTTATTGTTGTACAAGGATTGTCTGCTTAACCATCACTTATGGAGTTTGAAAATTTGTTAGCTAGTCAAGAAGCCATATTGGAGGAATCATATTACAGGGCGAAGAAGAAGCACTTTACACAAGTGAAAGTTAGAGCAACAATAAGTCCTCTACCAAACATGGATACAAAATAGTGACAAAGGAAGAAGTCATCAAGAAACTGCACAACCAAAGAGAGCTCATAAGAACGACAACAATAACTCTCAAGTGAAGAGATTTGGAGGTATTTGTTACAATTGCGGGAAAAGGAGTTGCATGTTCAGGATGGTTGGTAAAAAAAAATTGTGTTGAAAACAATGTGGCAACATAAAAAATGAAGATGGAGAATGAATGGGATGCAGAGACAATATGTGTCATAAAAGAAGACGAACTAGCGCTTATGGCAATGATGGGAGAATATCGATTACGAGGATGATTGGATCATTGATTCAAGATATTCAAACCACATGACTGACGATCAGAGTGATGCAATGAAAGCAGGGTGGTCCTTAGAGAATGAAGTATTATCAGACTTGAACAAAATTGAAGAAATTCTTACACAGAAAACGGAAGAGCAAACTAAACACATTTTCTCGAGTGCTAATGTGCCTGAAGATCCAAGTGACACTAGTGTTCTGAGCAAGAAGTGACTCAACCAAGCGAACCTAGTAAAAAAACAAATGGCACCTCAACAACCCAGATGATCAGAAAGAATCCAAAAACCAAATTCAAAGTACGTCAATACATTTATTATAAAAGACGAAGTTAAAGGGACAGAGACATATGAAGAAACATCACAAAATACGGCTTTGCAGCAGGCAATAGAGGAAGAAATTATAGTCTTGAAGCAAAATCAAGCTTGGGAACTAGTGTCAAGACTAGGAGATGTCAAATCCATCTTTTGCAAGTGAATTTACAAAATAAAGTATACTCTAGATGGATCAATCGTGAGATACAAAATAAAGTTCGAAGAAGCCTCATTTGGATTCGGCTCGACAGATCTTGTGATATGTCAAAAGTGCGATCGATTCTGATCTTTTGTACAAAAGAAGTGAAGACTACAAGCTAGTTCGATACCGTGATTCTGAATATGCAGGACATCACTGTTGGATCGATATGGCAACCTCAGAGGGGTAAATAGGGTTTTAACAATAAAATTATTTAAACGTGTTTTTTTTAATTATGATTTTTTTAAATGAGTAGAATACGATAATTAATATAATAAAATAGTTCAAGGAATAACCATAAACAATTATATAAAATTAAAAAAAAAAACTTAGAACCTGCAATAAATCAACAATTTCAAAATTGAGGAAAGTGTTAGAAAATATGAAATTAAATAAGAAAGAGTTAGAAAATATAACACCCTAGTTTTACAGTGGTATGGTCAAACTTGACCTACTCCATTTCCTAAGCGCCCCTTGTGAATTTGAATAAACTTTTTTCGACTGTTTCCTCGGATCAGTGCCCAATAACTCTTTTTACGAATTCAAGAGCAAACTCAATCCTTTTTTATTATATATATATAATAATAATAATAATATAATAAAAAAATATTTAAAAAATAATGTGAAAAACGATTTGTTTTTATAATTGAAATAATGTATAAATAATTTTATTTCTATTTATAAGTAATT